TCCTTAAGAGGTTGAGGTCGTGTTTCTTGCTTAAAGACTAAGGATTTTGTGGAATGCAGCCACATCAAGCTACTTTGATGAGTAATAAGCAGGAGGTGGCTTCTTGTTGCAATATTTGACATTTCTACCATTGTATTTGGATTTATTTATGCCTTATAAGATATCTATATCCATCCTACATGAGATTATGCCTTAAGGTTGAAGAAATTGAGTGTTAAAATGACAAACATCCCAAGCATGAGGTGTTCAAGCATTAGGTGGTTACTTGTCTTAAAAATCTGATTTTATATCCTTGTAGGTACAAATTTAGTGTCATTGGCTTATTTTGATGTGCTTAAAATCTATTTCACTTGCCCTAAGATCCCAACGTATTTTGTAGAGCTAATTCCTCAACCGTTCATTTAATTTCTTATCCAATTGACACCCGATTGTCAATCGATTTCAACAATTCGCACATCAATATTTATAACGTCATATGAGACATATATTATTGCATTGTGATCATGTCACTTCATGCCTCATGTCCAAAATATGTCAATTACCTAACTAGGGTTTAAGGTGTCCTCGATCAACCGTATGAAAGCTTGAACCTTTGTCGATACTAATTTCCGACCTTCTCGATTTTCTATTGCTTATCAAACCAATTTCCAATATTTAATTAACCTAATTTTCTATTAAAGCTCAATATAAAATTCACCACCTAGGTCGAGGAGTCAAAGATTATCACCATGTAAAGATTATAAAGCCTTAACGATCAAATATACCGTTTTAAGAGAAAGCAATTGGAAAATTGATGCAAATGGCAATGTAATTAGCATGAAAATGCATGAATCATATTGTCCATATATATAACGTGAAGTTCAGGGTATTACATAATGTTATTTATGTTAATGTAGTAATCTTATTCCAAGCAGAATTGAGTTGAATGAAACTCGATATATCCTGTTAACATTTGAGTTTAGTTGCTATTAAAATATGTGTGTGTGTGTGTGTTTTATTTATATTTATATTTTTAAATTTGAAGCTTAGTTTTCGAGCAAATGTTTGAAGTTCAATTTGTTTGTGTGATCGTATATACAGAAGGGTAGGAGAAGATTTTTTTTTTTTTTTTTATTATTGCTTGTGTACGTAAATGTAGATTTTCTTGTAGTTTTGGTGGGCATGTTTGTCAATTTCTTTTCTTTTATTTTGTCGTTGCCTTGTTATAAAAAAAAAATACTGGAATATTGCTAATAATTTGCACCAAAACATTATAGCTCATTAATTGGGAAAGAAATTTGCAGAATCACGTTAAAAAAAGGATAATCAAAATTATTTTAATTTCTAAATGATTTCCTTGTCCAATGATTTGATGGTTAGGACGTAAAATCTTGTCATATGGGAATTTTCGAACCGAGGTATGAAATTTCTGGTGAAGGTGTATTTGGTTCTCAATATTTCATGATTAAATCCAATTAAGACAAATTTCTTAATCTGTGAATTTACTATGTTAGGGCTTAAGGTCTATGATATTATGATGAATGTTTTTATGCACCACACATAATTCTTGATTTTTAATAGAGTTTGTTTTAAACAACCAAAATCTAGCAAAAACGCACTTATTTTTAATAAATTTATCAATTATATGAACTTCGTTTTTTCATATCGATAGTTGCATCTGTTAAAAATATCTAATATATTTATCCATGTTTCAATCGGTCATGTTGTATCATATTATTAATTCTATAAAGAGAAACTATATTTAAGTCCACAAAAGACATATTTTGGTTGCCTACATCATTTTCATTCTATTTTTTTTACAACTTATTTAGCTTATTTGTGTTTTGAATATGTCCGAACAATCCAATTACATTCATGCTAT